CTGCGTGTTAGGAAGTGTTTTAATTGTCTAGAGCTTAATGATGGTGACGATAGGGTTGAGTGTTTATGGGTAAGAATCAGGGAGAAGGCCAACAAACTAGATGCATGTCCAAAGAAGGGCAACGAAGGTGGTGAAGGGTCTGGAGCACAAGTCTGATGGGGAGCGGCTGAGGGAGCTGGGGTTGTTTAGCCTGGAGAAAAGGAGGCTAAGGGGAGACCTGATCGCTCTCTACAACTACCTGAAAGGAGGTTGTAGCAAGGTGGGGTTGGTCTCTTTTCCTAAGTAACAAGCGATAGAACAAGAGGAAATGGTGTCAAGTTGTGCCAGGGGACATTTAGATTGGATATTAGGAAAAATTTCTTCACTGAAAGGGTTGTCAAGAATTGGAACAGGCTGCCCAGGGAAATGGTTGAGTCACCATCCCTGGAGGTATTTAAAAGATGTGTAGAAGTGGCATTGAGGGATATCTTAAAGATATCTTTTCCAACCTAAATGATTCTATGATTCTAAGTGACCCAAATGTAATTGCTAAGCAAGCACGTTTGTGTAAAACAATAGTCAATTTACAACTTTCAGATCAAGCAAGTTGACACCCATCTGCTCATAGCTGAGTCAAGCGTAGGATATATGCAAGAGTTCAGTGTTTCTGTAAGGACCAAGATGTATTTGATTTGAGTATCTAGTCTTTTAACTTGATAGCTTACCTGCTGCATCATTGATGCTAAGAGGGAAGCACAACAATACTATCCATTTTAATATAAACCTGCACCAGCCAAAGTAAATATATACAAGTGTGTCTTATTAGTAATTGTTATCAGTAATGAAGAATGAATAAACTTGATTTTGACAGAGTGGGGGTAACCAATATGTGCTATCTCCAGAGAAACCACAGCAAAGGCTACACATCAGGATTTCTCAGTGCAGTAAATTCACTGAGGGCAACCACAGGTATGAGTTTGGTAACCTTATGTTGAGTTTGGTAACCTTATCTTAGAGTGACTACAGAGTGCCCTTGTATCCAGGAACAGCTGTTGCATGTTAGCTATTCACTTGCTGTGAGGGCCACCCCTCATTTATATAACCCTGACAGCTTAAATTGTAAAAGTAAAGTAAGATCTTGTTGCTGTGAATTCTGTTGCTTTTGCAGTTTTTCTTCAGTCAGTTAAACAAGCAGGTCTTGTTTTCTATTCACTGAAAGTAGCGACTTGTATTTTTAGCTGATAATTCTCTAAAAGTAGGTAAATGATAAATCCAGCTAAATAATCCCACCGAGTTGAGACTGCTGACTTCACAAAATGATTGAGGTTGGAAGATACCTCCGGCGGTCATCTGGTCCAATGCCCTACTCAAGCAGGACCACCTATAGACAGTTGCCCAGGAACATGTCCAGGTGGCTTTTGAATATCTCCAAGGATGGAGAGTCCACAACCTCCCTGAGCAACCTGTGCTGGTGCGCAGTCACCCTCACTGTAAAAAAGTGTTTCCTGATGTTCAGACAGAACCTCCTGTGTTTCCATTTGTGCCCATTGCCTCTGGTCTTGCCACTGGACACCACTGAGAAGAGCCTGGCTTCATCCTCTTTGCACCCTCCCTTCAGGTATATATATCTACATTAATAAGATCCCCTCTGAGCTTTCTCTTAGTGTTACAGTTGTGTGACATTAGACTGCATCTCTGGCTTTATTCTCTTTGGTATAGAAATGTATTAACATTTCAGTATGATGAATGACTTCAATCAGCACAAAAAGGACATTATCCCTGGGTTTGGGCTGTATATATATGTGCATGTATCTACTTAACAGGAAAGAAGAGGTAAAGTGCTCATCCACTGTATAATCTCAAAGGATCCCTCAGCATATTTATGGTCTTCAGCATTTGTATGTGTGCCAATGACCTTCCTTTACTGAAAGGCTTATGGAATGTCTGGAGTGACTAGGGTAATCCGTGAGAGTAGTCTTTTATGGCAGATACTGTCATCTTTACAATTAAAGGAATAGTACTAGTAGGCAAGGAAACAAGAGTACCATGGACAAAGATATAGTTACTAGAGTTGAAGGGAGGACAACACATTTGTTTTGCAGCTGCTTTCCAGGTCTGAAATGGAAAGTTTTTGTTTCACACTGCAATGAAAACATAGCCTTGCAAATACTTCCACAAATGTAGCCTTCCCTCAAACATCCATCCCGAGCCCACAACCTTAGTCTTCTGAATCTTAAGTAGGTGAAGCAGGCTTTAGCTGGTATTATAACTATCCCACATTTGATTTCCTGACTGAGTTAGAACAGAGCTTGTTTCAAGCCGATGTCTCTTGTGATGTCAACTGGTGTTGAAAGTCAATGTATGGAGGGGAAAAAAATTTCCCTGCACTAAGACAGCAAAGATCCACCACTTCCCAGCTACTCTTTTTGGTAATTTTTTGAATTTACCATACTTAAGCATTTCCAAAGTTATTTTGTGCTGTGTTTCTCTGCAAAGTAAATCTTCTCTTGACCCTACTTTGAAAGTGCTGCCATGGCTATCCTGTGTCATCTCTGGCAGCTAGCTCCCATCCCTTTCTCCTGAACATCTCTTGCATGCTCGAAAGAGGGCATGCACAGAGACTGGGAAATGTTGCTAAATCTGGAATGGATATGGACATAAATGAGTAGAGCTAAACACAACGGAATGTGATTACTGGTTTAATTTTGTTTCTAGCATTTTCCCATAGGTTAAAAAAATCATTTAACTGATTATGAAGACAATATATTGTTAATGACTATCAGAAGATTTTTTTTTTCCCCTTAGTGTACAGGTCATTTATCACCACTGTTGGAATATACACTTATATCAAAATTTTACATGATTATGAAGACATAGATAGGTGCAATATAAATCATCCATGACAGATTAATACTAAGTATTGTAAATTAGCAAAGCTGTCCTGCAAAGATCCTTCCTTCATCTTTTATATGTGTATACAGGCAGCATCATAGGAAATGGCAGGTAGCACAAACAAGTGATACTGGTGCTTTGCACAGAACATACATGCTCTTACTGCAGATGAATCGCTTAGATATCTTTCTTTAATGAAAAAGCACATTGCTGGGATAACAAACTATTTCAACTGACTTCAGCTTTTTACTCAAAACAGGTGTCTGCCCTTGCATACAGTGATCCTGGGGAAATTTTGTGAAGGCTTTGTGTGTACAGATTCCCTCAGTAAGCTGCCATGGTGATGTCTGGGTTGGGATGCTACAGAAAAAGAGAGGATCACCTGGGATGAGCTTCACATGACTCAAGTGCCATTTAAATGAAAAGAGCTAGGACAAGCCTGCTCATTTTTCCTATACCAGATTTTACAAGCATCACTTAGCCTCAGGAGTGGAGTTCTGGGACTATCTCCTTCCATCTCTCTTCCTTGACTGTGTCTTTATCATAGCAAAACATGTAGCTGCTATTTGATGATTATCACCTCACTGAGACCAATTGCTCAGTGTGAAATATCTATTCTGTTTTCAGCTATCAGAATGATAGTTAAGGAATTATGCAGAAGAAAGTTAAGCCCAGATCGCTGTTATTTTTTCTATATAAGCTATTCAAAAATCTATAGGAAAGTCTTCCTGTCTGGTTTGCCTGCAAAGTTTCTTTTCCTTTAATGAGAAATAAGTGCATAAACAGAGGTACACTAGCAACTAACAAGCTTCTTGTGATAATAATAAACATTGGGAGCCAAGATGCAGCTATTAACTTATATAATAAATTGCAAATAGACATCAAAAAGATCAGTTATAACTCTTGGTCTGAAGTCCTAGCTGACTTAACGAATTCATAGTTAGGTTGATAAAATACAGCTCAAAGTTGCTGCACCTTAAACGATCACTTTCAGTTATTCAGGTAACTAATTTCAAAGCATTTACTAGATTTCTCCTCTTATTTTCCAAATGGGTGTGACAGTCTTTCTATGTTTGCTCTTCAAATTATACATATAAATTTCTAATGAAATCTGATATACCAAAGCTGCTTGGTAAGAGTTCAAAACGCTAGTAGAGACAGAGATGTGCAGCCTCACCTCGTAGAGGCTTTGGTCATTTCACTGTTGCTGGTTACAGTTCTGTCTGAATGAGGCGTAGTGCTTTCTTCATGTTCTCTATTACTGAAAGAAAAATAAGAACTGTAAAAATGTACTTAAAGTGTATTTGTGCAACTAAAAACTCCATCTGGTTTAATGAGTAAATTGTGCACATTGAAATTAATTTATGGTCACACATTATATTTGAGATCTTTCTATAGTGAAAATTCTGGCATTGATAGTAAAGCAGAAGGTAAAAAGTTTCATGAATCAAAATGTTTAACTTGAAGGGATTTGACAAGACTCCTTTCAACTCCCTTATTTCTCAACAGCAAGCCTACTAATCAGATGTGACGTGCATGTTTGTGGTGAGATACTGCATTGGTGTCAGATAGATGATATAGAGCAAGGACTAGCTCAACCTGAAAAATCACATTCCTTTCTGAAATATGGGTGTTAGGTGGTACCCAGGTAACCACCAGCATTTCTTTACTGATTCCCTCCCACCACTGGCTGTTTACATTGTGTAGTTGGATACCTTTGAGAGTAGTGACTTTCACCATTCTCCAGCAAACTGCTCAGATCTCGATCCTGAAAGTTCTCACCCATGATCTTTCAATTTGTCTTACCTGAGTAGTCCCGATAAATTCAATGGGACAATAGGTGTGCTTAAGTGTTTTGCTAGAACAGGTTAGACTATTCTAATTTATTGCAAATGCTCATGCATGGTCTTTACTCGTTACTTTGAGATCTTAACAGATTCTCAAGCACGAATGATTGGGATGGGGCGTATCTGGCTGCTTACAATGTGAAACACAAAGTAGCACAACAAAAAGGGCACTTACAGAATGGTATGTCTTGTGGTTCGTAAGTGTAAAGACGGTTGGAGTATCTTCCTGTGATATCAGCTCTTACTGTGAGAGATGGGTCTGAAAAAGTAATGATATTAAACGCTGCTTTCCATTCCCACAACAACTGAGGGCAATGTCTGTGGTACTACTTTGACAGCCCTGTTTCTGAGGTTCCAATTTCATCAACGAGGCAATTATGAGGCCATTATGCTCTGTTCCAACTAACTGCTCTTCACTTGGAGAAATCCCGAATAAAAGCTAATGCTTGTGTTTTATGTTATGCAGCTATTTTTAAGTGGTAGATTACACATGCATTTCATCCATATTTAAAGAAAAATATCTTGTTTTACAAGTTCTGGGGTTACATCAGGAGAGGCTAATTTGGCTGGATGCACACATAGTGAGGGCCATGCGTACCTAATGCAATATTAGCATGACCTACCTGGAGCCTTCAGAATGAATATCTTGTGATTCTTAATGGGAAGAATTCTCACCCTGGGAGCAAGTTGTTGTGGACATCTCCCATTTCCCCTTCCAAGCTTTTTGTTAATTAACTGACTCCTGTTACTACATTGCTCTCTGTCTGAGTGTGGGCTTCCTCTAACTTTGGATGCCACCACAGTACTGGTCACTCCAAGCTCCCTGTACAGTCAGTGAAAAGGAACAGGCACTCTGGGGCATAATTCATTTCATCTCTTCCGGAAGTCAGCTTTATGATTGGATAAATGATTCCTTAGATGCTACTGACTATTGACTCTCTCTCTGGTAACGACCACACTGTAGACATCTACATTCAGTCAGATATTTGACAGTTTTCAGTAGACTTTGTCTCATAACAGCACTAGCAAGAAGCATGGAGAGCAAAAGCCCAGATGCTAACAGATATTTAAGCATCTTGCCCCCAAGCACAAATTAGGTACCCTCCAGAACATATCTGTAACCTGAAGAAGTTTATGAGGGTCAAAGCCTCTGACAGAGGGAGGACTGAACTCAGATCTGCCAAGTTCCAGGCTAATGCCATGGTAATGATAAATTTTGAGCTATTTTCTTTTTGTAAAATGAATAATTTTGATGTCCCCAAGGGAGAACACTGGCATAGATTTAGCTATCACAGCTTTGAAGGTAGATAAATATTGTACATACCTATGAACATGATTCGAGGCACGTATTGTCCATCAGGTGACAGGTTTTTATCTGTGGTTTCATGCTGGCAGAGAAAGTAAAGCCAGTTACTAAAATATTCCTGTAAATTTTGCTGAAGTAGTACCACCTGTGAATAGTCTTGTAGCAGAGGACAAAACCAAAAAAGGTACTACTTGTGTGTGGATACACATGCACAAATGCCTGTACTTAAATGTAACTGAAATGCCAGAGATACTTGGCTAAAATGGCATGAAAAGGCAAGACAAAGAAAAAGAAAACACAAGCCAAAAAAAGGTAGCAGTCAAATTGCCCCAAACCCTTCATACCATGAGATTCAGCATAACGAAGTCATTTTGGGCCATTTCCTGTATCTCTTCATTTTCTGCAAAAGCTTTCTTCAGTGCTAGAAAAGACATGATCGTTTTGAAGTCCATCTCAAACTCTGCTTTCTGTCTGCGTTTGGGCACCGCTTTGGTCAGAGACTGGCCACATTGTTCCTGTCTCTGCTGATTCACATTCCTGAGGAGATGCTTAAGGGCTCGATCACTGCTTTTTGGTTTTCTGACCCATGTCAGTACACCCTCCTGGCTATGGAAAAGGAAGCTCTCTTCTGTTGTTTGTGAAGCCTGTAGTCTCAACGGATACCATGTCTCAGCTTGACAAAAGTGCATTATTCTCAGAAAACTTTTATTAGATCGATTTCAGCAGCCCTGTCCTTGTCTCCTCCTTTAGTTACCAGTTCAGGAGAGCCAAACAATATTAAACCTGTTCAATGAGTCAATAGCAAATCTGTGCCTCTTAATTTAAACTGACGAGCGCTGTGTTAGGGGTAGCAGGACAGCAACGCTGAGTATTTTGCGTGTTCTTTATTGAGTAGTTTCATAGGGGATTTTTTGTAAGTGACAGTAATAAATGCTTAGCTTTTCAAATACATTTTCATTTACCTATTTCTTTAAATAATTTTCAGTAAGTGCAAAGTAAATATATAGGTAGGTGCAGTTTCTTATAAAAATAATCACAAAATTTTAACACTCAAAATTACCTTGGCAGTATTGACAGTCTTCCAAATGATGAATTACCATCAGTGGCTTGTTACTTTATTAATAATAATAAAACATGTAGTTAGAACATTTGATCAGTACGCAAATGGATGATTTTACTAGCAGACTGTAAAAGGCAAATTACATCTAATCTTATGTTAACCCACAGTAAAACCATACAGGCATTCGGTAAAGAATTAGACATTTTTGAGCAAGGGAAAAGAACATAACTCCTTCATAACAGAAAGGAACAGAAAAAATAGATTTTCTATGTCTAAATATGTTTTCTAAAGTAAGAGTCTAGAAGAAATAACAGAGCCATTGTCATTTCATTCCCAGTTAGTATATAATCTCACTGAAGATGTATTTAATATTGCTTAAGTGTAAAGTTTTCCATGATTAAGAAAATAAAAATAATCTGTATGAACTGGAATAAGAAAAATTTTATAAAATAGGGTTTATCATCAAATATTTCCCATGGAAAGTTTCATATTTTTTAAACTTTCTTGAACAGATATACAGTCAATTATTTTTTTTCTGTAAATAGTTTGGTAAAGTATCAAAATTCTATATTTTTGGATATCAAAACATAAAGCAATTCTGTGCATTTTTCTCCTGTATTTTTTTAAACTACTGTTACTGTTCAATGAATCAGTTACTAATGCTTGATATGCTATCATTGTCAAGAATTGTTCAGTTCCTAGCTATTGTCACATGGGGTACATGACATTTAATTGCCTTTTATTTAAAAATAATTTGCCTTCAGTTTAACAATAACTCATGCCACACTATTATGATCTAAAATGAACTGTAAAAGAGATTTAAATAAGTATTGTTATGAACTCTCAGATATATTTTCAGCTGAGTCCCAGAGAAGATTCAGATTGGAACTTTCATTTCTACCAAGATAGTGAGAAACTGAGTACATCATGCACACATGCCATCTAATGAAGTGTTGGGGAAAACATCACAGGCAGTAGATCATCATGCAAGAGCAAATGTAACTGAATTTCAGTACGTGATATTAAAAACCCCACAACAGATGTATTTTTTAAAATTATATCTATTTACAATTCCTTAGTCATATGACAACACTGCTGTTGTGACAAAGAAATAACAGTGTTAAACTATTGGCCCATGATGTTGCTTCAGAGTCATAAGACCCCTACAATGGCTTTTATTTATAGACACAAAATCTGTTTTATTTAACTGGGTGGTCTGCAGATCAGCTGTCATGGTGTTTCTTTGTTCTGTTTCATTATAGTATATTCAGGCATGACTGATGAACAACTTTGTCTTTCAAACAATTTTTTTAATCTCTTACCTTTTTTTTGCTTGATAAAGCCCTTCTTCATAAGTTTGTACCCAGGTAATTTCATCTCCCCACCCTAGAAATATAACAAAAGGATTAACTGGTGGCAAGTAACTCATAACAAATTCCTTTCTTTGTATTTATCAATAGTTGTACCCAAATAGGATTTGGATTTTTAGTTAGAAGTTCTCAAATGTTGTGGGTATGCAAATTCTACATCTCCTGATAGGTGCGCTGGAAGAGTAAATAAACCCAAAACAACCAACCCCCCCAAAAAACCTCAGCTGCTTGCATATCCTGTTCAAGTCCTTTGGCAAACCTGTTAGATATCTTTCTAAATACTCAGAGGTCCCTAAATCAGCACCCAAATCCTTTATATCATTATAGGGTCTGCTCCATATTTCATGTAGGCCCTGGGGCTTAAAGAGAAAGTTGGCTTATAAAAGAGAGAAAAATAAAATATGACAGCTCAAATAAGATCAATTTTAATATCAACATCGTTAGAACAGTCTTGGGTTATAAACTTAAGTCCCGAGTAATGAATTTCAATCCCTAGAGTTGCAAGCACTTCATTTAATGAAATAATTTAATAAAAGAATGGCTGTTAAATAAGAGTTTCCACTGAAACAAAATCCTAATGAATCATCATCTTCATAGCTCATCATCTATAGCTAGTAATACACTGATCTCAAAAAGCAAATGGTCTGGTTGGTTTCATGCCTTCCGATCCCAAGGACGCCAGCCCCTGTGTAGTAGATTCCTGCCTCCCAGGCAGTGTTGCTCCATTCATGACGGCGCTCATGGGAATTGTAGAACAGCTTCTGGATCTGGACCGAGTTAAAGCGATGTTTCTTCTCCGCTGTCTGGATAGCGCTTGAACCAGCCCTGGGTATGCAGAGATTTGCTGTTGGCTTTCTCATGGGATGATTGCTTGTGATGCCACTAGGTCATCTCTACTTTCAGAGGAGTGATTTCGATTACAGATCCGTCTGGTTGATGGTGGGATTCTGGTGCGTTGACCAGTGTGTTCCCAGCCCTGGCTGAAGTCTACTGCTGACGGTAACAGCATAGAGGAGTCAGCAAGGGTCATTTTGCAGCAGGTTTAAGTAGTACTTTTTGATGTGTGAAAATTAGAGATAAAATGCTCAAGGCATCCCAAAAGGCCTGAAATCAGAATTAGAAAACTGATTCTTGCTTTCTGTGACTATTTTTTTTTTTTCCAAAATTGCCAGAATTGAGGAGATTTTGTTATCTTTTTATGCATTTAGACTTAGTGGGAAAAATAAATCCTGATCAAGGCAAGATAGGCAATAGATATCACACTGATTATAACCTTTCTCTAGGGATACCACTTACGAGAAATGATTTGCAATTTCTCTTTGGTCAGTCTAAGTGTTGCATGATTTTGCCAAGCACTCCCTGAGCAATTAGGCTCAGATGGGATCTCTGTGACAGGTGGGTCTTTGGCAGTGCTTTGTATGAGAAGACTTCAGAGGTGAGCTGTGGGATCTGCAGACTTTGCATAGCTTGCAGAAGAGGTCAGGAAGGGAGCTGCAGGTTGTTTTGGAGGAATAGGTCCGAAAGGTAATGGAGATGGAGATAAGGAAGAGACCTCGGTAAGCTATTGTTCTGCTTCTATTTCTAAGGATTGATCAGACATAAATAAATTAAAATAGAGTCTTTAGTTGACATCCAGGTTGAAAATTATGCACTGCAAGGAAGTGAATTATTCACTGTGAAGCATGACTGTGACTATCTGATGGAAAGCAAAAAACTCAGTCACGCAGAGAAACCCACCAGTGCCTCAAACTGTTGTTCTGTGTATAAAAATAGGTCTGTAGAAAAATCGTTCCATAGCAAATGAAGTTATGAAACTGTTTCAGTAGTTAATGAGTTACCATAATAAATATCTTTTAAATGATATATTGAAGAATGCTTTTTCACTGATAGTCCCACAAGTGCATCCTGATTTCAGAGACCCAGTTTAGGTTATTTTATTTCTACTAGGTCACTGTGAGTTATATGAATTATGCAAGTTATATGAGGCCATCAGCCATAACCTTAAGAACAAACTGATGCAGTGAAACAACACAGAATAAGAAGATGCACTACTTAGAGTGGCACTTAACACTAGGGAAACACACCTCAGTAAGTATATATGTGCTTCTATGTCCATTCTAAATAAAAACTTTTGTTGACCTATATGGTAAGATAAGGAGGTAACTATATACAGTAAATGTACAGTACCTCTTGACAGAGTCTGAGGTGCTCGTTTTTCCTTTTTGATTGCCATCGCAAGGTTGGAAGAGACTGCAATTAGTAGGAGGGACAAGGCCAATGTTGAATGGAGCATTATTTCCCTTTCAATGCAGCAAGGAAACTGGAAAACAAAATGACAGCTTTAGTTACATGAATTCGTCACCTGGTGTAGTGTAAATCAATGTGTTTGCGGTATCCTAACAATCTATACTACAGAGACAGTTTATTTCTAGAAATGCCCTTTGTGAGAAAAGTGCAAAATGGAGGTGCTTAATTTTATCATGCAACACTGCTTTCAGCTGACATAATTAGGCTGCAGGGGAGGGTTCTCGCTACAGCGTAATCAGGGAAACAAAGTCCATCTCGGTTTATTTCTGGTTACCCAGCATTTGATTCTTATGAACTAGTACAATGTTGTAATACTGGATCATAACAATTTCAAGACAGTACTACTAGTTGTTTGTTCTGTTTGTTTTTTTTTTTTTAAATTTCAATGAAACATAACAGCATGGGATCTTTTTTTATGGGTAGTAAGTTTTTTGGTCAAAAGATGTCTTGTGATATCCTCCTTAATAAAATAGGAAAATCGACAAATATTTCCCTCCAGGTATAATACATTTTAAACTGGCAAATCCTCCAGAATATTGAAATTGCCATAATTTTTTTTAGGCTGCACTCTGTGAACCGAGATGTTAAAGATAGTGAGAGAAATAGCAAAGAAATTTCCAGCCGTTTCTCACAATGAAAACTCAAAAACCTTCCCCATTCTTCAAGGCATTTTTAAACTGATTTTCAGCACAACAAAAAAATGATCCATCTGTGCTCCTGGCTCTTTCAGTATTCTAAAGATATTTGCTTCTCTTCCTGACAAAGACCATGATGAGAAATTCAGTAACCTTGATAAAAGTCAGAGAACCAAAGCAATGGTTGAGGAAAAGCTTTACAAAGTCATTTTTTTTAAATTGATAGGTCTTCTTTCTGCATAGTACAATCATCTTTAGGCATTAAAGCTCTGATATTCAGGTGGATACCTGATGGTTTGAATAAGTTAAAAAATATAATGCATATAGCCCAGGATACCACCCAGTCAGCTTATCAGTTCTTTCTGGAGATGCCACTTGTCAGAGGTAGAGATTTACGAGTCATCAGGATGACCTGTTGAGAAAACGTTTTGACTGAAATAATAATAATAATAAAAAAAATCCCCCAAAGCACTTGTGCTTTGTGTATTGACAAAGAAAATTTCAAACTTGAATTTAAAATTGATATCCAGTATGGAATTACAGCCCTGAGCACTGGCAAAAGAAGATACTTTGTGCTTCTTAGGACAGAGAAGCATGAAAAGTGCAGCAGCTTTTATCCTTACTTTAATGAACCTCTCAACATCACTAACATCACTGCTAACAGTTCAATTTCTAGTAAACAAATGCAAACTCCACTTCCAATAACAGGCAATCTCAACACAAGAAAAATATTCTATTTAAGTGACTGGAGAACCATCTTCACATTAAAATGTGCAAAATTGTAGAGAAAATGAAGTATCATCTCGTAGTAAGAATCTTATAATTCTGAATATAAACACATTCTGAGTATAAATACATTCATTATAATATTTTTCTCCTCAGTCTTGTGCACAACAGTTCCCTTTCCCTCTGCATAGTATTGCAACTGTAGAGTTGTTCTTTGTTTCACGTACTTCCTTAGGCTCATTCATGTTAGCTGTTGTTGATTGAGTTTTAGAAAGTAGTCTCCTTTGGAGCTTACTAATTAGGCACATTAATTTGATGACTGGGGATTATCAATATTTAATAAGAAAATGTGAAGTTTTCCAGTGTTTCCTGAGGAGAAACTATAATGTTTAGTTAAGTCTGGGGGAGGAGGATTTTTTGGTAATAAAAATTCCATTCAAGTTTTCCACGTTTGTGCAGGCCGCTAACTTCAGTCAGCAAAAGCAGATCATTACACCCTACTACTATACACTTGATGAAAGAGTATTTGTAGCACCTCTGTGTGAAAGTTAATAACTATCTTTAGTATCAGTTTACCTATTAGATGTTAACAATAAAACCTAGCATTTATATTAACATGTTAAAATGCTATTTAAACATAAATAGTTATGGTTTTGAAATCACAGCAGGGAATGTCTCTATAAAGCAGGTATGAAATGCATGATGTTCTTTCATGATGTATTCATAAAAAAATTGAAGTGTAAATCTCTTCAAGTCACCAGATTAATTATCTGAAGCTTAAATAATTTATTATCATCCTACTGAAAACCAACAGGGTTTTGGAAGGATAATTTATGGAGCTGTAGCTGGAGGCAGTTTAAATTCAATATTCTGAATTTTTGATGCTACATAATCCAGTGTTAGTTAATTGATTAAAAGAAAAAAAAATTACAACCAGCACCATATAGATTGCCTTCATCTCTCTGTCAGAACAAATGTTTTGCTAGCTAATCTCTAAGCATCTATCGTTTGTCTTTTTGTACGACTAGGCTTGTAATGCATTTGTCAGCCAAACCTCATCGCTGTACTAAAGGAAAGTTAAGAATGAAAAATACTTGCTCACCAGCAGCAATCAGTTCTCCTGACGGAAGGTCTTTTTTCTGGAACTGCTTAGTTAAAAATTGATGTGATTTAAGCACAGAATGTCTGAGCTGCCCAGGTCTTTGTGTAGCAACAACAGCACATTCACCTGGGAAAAAAATGAGAGGAACGTTTTAGCTGAAAACCAAATTCACGTGTTTCTACCCTCCCCCTTCCTTTTCTGCCATCCCTCCAACTTTCGCTCTTGTGAGTTCCCATCCTTGAATTTCTCTTCATCTTGGCTTATATCAGGTGTCTTGTATGAGTACTGAAAATAAATAGTGGCTTATGTGTGTCTGCTACTTCCCCCCTTAAACAGTTTGAGTCTGGCTTATGTCCAGTGAAAAAAGAAACCACCAATGAAAGCTGGAACTGTAGCTGCTTTTGTTCCCAATGAATGGCTGGGTTCACTGGTGCCTGAAGATAGGTATGAACCTCATAGGAAGACACAAGGGTTACTTTGTGTAGAGGAATGTAATTAACAAATAAAACAATTTTTTTTTTTTAGGGGGAAATAAAATTTATTTAAATAATATAGTTTAAAGAATGTGATTATTGCTTCTGTGAGTTGTAGTTTAAAAATGGTCTGATTCTTTGGACACGATGCTTGATATAATTTTGACCTAACTTGGCTAATACAAGAAAAGTCGTTTATTCATCTTCTTTGCACAAAGGAGGAATTAGCTGGATCACCTTTTCCCTCCTCCTTGGATAGCTTTTGCAAGGGAATCAGAAGCAATTCTCTTTCGGTTCTTCCTCTCCCATGTATTTGTTTATACGGACTATATGGTTAAACTTTTTCCTCCTCTTTTTCATGTAAAATCTGAATTCTTATTTGTCTTTGCTTTGATCCCCTGATGTTTATTGTCACTGAAATGTGCATGGTTAATGACATATAGTTCTTGTATTATGTATTATTAATTATCTTTGTATTGAAAAGTGCAAAATGTGACTTTCTGTATTTTTAGTGCTGAGTTATATTTGACATTTGTAATGGATAATTAAAACTTGAATTTCCAGATAAAAAAGTATAGTAACTGTATTTAAATCTATAATATGCTTAGCTCCTGGAATGGCTGAAAAAGAAAGGAATGTAGTTTGGTTACAAAAGAAATGCAGGCAGATATTTTATTCAAAGTGCTACATTGCATGTATTCATTTAAATTTTAAGCAAATGAAAAAGATTATCTGAAGTCAAACTAGGGGCGGTTTAAAGAACCTCCCTCCATCCAAACTTTGGGTTTTCACACAGAAATTTCAGGCACTGGAGCTTCAATTCTTCTTACTCTTCAACTAATTACAGATCCTTAAGGAGTCAGAAATATAAACGTTTTCTGAGTGTACTGAAGTGTATTGCTGCTCAACCTGAAGGCACTGTGTTCTTCATTGCACGAGTTTCTTATTGTAAGGAGTAAAGGGATAGATCTTCAATCAAATAGATTAAAGTTAGTGCTGAGCTACCTGTGAATGCCCTTTGGCAGGATGATGTTCAGCAATCTGTCTTCTCTGCTCTATACTTGAAGATCAGAATTTCAGCCTTTGTCAGTCTCACCATGAAGAGATTGACAGTCCTGGACAAGTAGACCTTGTCAAGGTTTAATACTGGAAGAAAATGACTTTAAAACTTAATAAATACAAGCTGGATGCCTTCACTATGCCTATTCAGTCACTACTTGTTAGGTGGGACCTTATCAGCTCTCTGTCCCTGCTTTCTTCTGCACGTGTTCAGCATACACCCCTGAACTGAGTGTGAACAGAGCTCATGCTAGCAGAGATGCATTCCATTCCAGCTGTGCTGCCTGACATTCAAATCACCGACCTATGCAGCAGCAGTTACCAGCCAAATATTGAATCTCTGCTCTGAGCACACGTTTCTGCACTCGTTCATCGAACTAGCGTGCTCTCGTTCATTGAACTTGGCCAGCTTAGTCTCCAGGGTAATGTGGGCGGAAGGTGTTTCCATTTTTCGCTTCCATTCTAAAAGATTAATTTTGGAAGTATGAGTAAGTATGGGTTAACAGTGTATATACAGTTGTATCCAGGTCAAGATTAGGAAAGGCAAGAATTAGCTAAATATAGGGCAGAGCAAGGCAGCAGTAAAGCACATGAAAAGGACAGACTTTCAGAAAGAGAAAGATGTTGCAGAATAACTGATGTAGAATTGCATGCCCCTTCTTTCGTGTGAGTCACGCAGCAGCAGATTTAGGTACCTATCCATACATGTAGCCCATTCATGAAACGTGAAACTGACTTTAAAATATTGCTTTACATAGTGCTGCACAAATGCTAACTCCAAAAAAACCGAACCCCACTGTACTGATCAGTTCACTGATCTCACTCTTTCTGTGGCCTTGTGAATATTTGTTCTGGCACAGGGCAGGGGATACCCTGATGTAAGGAACAACGAGCTCATCAGGATGTAACAGGACAACTCCATGTGACATTTGACACTACTTAAGGTAAGTTTAAATTAAAGTGATCATGGACTGACTGAATATGAGAAATA